CTTAGGGATCACCTTGCTTCCCCAAGAAACGCCTGTTGGGCACTCCTTCAGCGAGCAGTCGGCGACAAGGTCCCAGCCAGTTTCACACTCGCAAACATTCTCCAGCCCGCATTCGCCGTGGCCGTTGCACATGTTGGGGCACACTGCTAGGACCTCGCCATCCATGTAGGACAGCACCACCGCGAGCGCTGCCATGGCGATTGAGGTCGCCGAAGTGCCTGGCCGACATTGTCTTTTCCCGTTTGTCATTGTCGCCGAGCTCGTACGGCAGCAGATGTTTTCCACTTCTATTTTTAGGACTTTGGACCCGAGAATAGCTCGGTGGGCTGTATTGCCCTTAATGTTGGCACAAGAGCCCTTTCCAAGCTTTCACGTGCAGCCAGGTGTTTGTGCCTTGCAGCGTAGCAGGCGTGTTTGCAGCGTGTCCTGATGCCCCTACCAGTACTACAATGCTCAAACCGGTCCGATAGTCCACCAGAGATGCTGCGACGCGCCTTCCGAGCTCCCAACGTGCTGTTACAAGGTAGAAGGCCAAGTAAGACTGAGCCCATAGGGTATGGTGTATGGGATGATAACTGGTGCTACGGACGGGTTAGACTATACAGGCAAAGTAGAGGTCAAGACACGGGCTCACCAACGACCGGAATGGTTATAATTATGTCGTTCAAGGTTATAGACTACTTCAGAATGATGTGTCGCAAAGGACAGGCTTCGACCTCTTTATGGAAACCAAGAGAAGGTGCCAACGCTTCAACGCACGCAGTTATTGTTTGTCGCCTACATACAAAATTACATGTGCAATCTGCAACCAAGGTACTACTGTAGACTACTGTAGTATGCCCTTGACTAGCATGGATCATTATCCACACACAGCCTTGATCACAGACCCTTCGACTCGATGTCGCACAGTCAGGCGAGACTTTCTACACCTTACATGGCGGCTGACCGTGCGGGAAAGGATATTAGCCTCGTTGATAATGTCCACCAGGACAAATATACATCGTGCTTGGGGTTTGCCGAAATGCTGGTGTTTTATCGTGCCGCATGCACTGCTGGCGGCACCGCGTAGTCGGTGTGTTCCATCTCTCTCTACAATGCAAGAGCAAGGCACGCCTTCAAGGCCCAGAAAGTAACGTCACTGCCACGAGCTAGCGCGACAGACTCCCTCCATACCTTGTGTCTCTTGGTGCTCCAAGGAATGCACCTCAACGTTGTGACCTGTGAGCAAATGCCACAGGAAGGGAACACAGCTCTATCAATTGGATCTTGTGGTGGAGTGGTGGATCTACGGGGCGATTGGTGTTCCAATAGATTACGGAAAGGCGTGTGTAACCGTCTTTGTTGGCATTTATTATGGGTGCTCCAATAGATAAGGGTGCGTTCTGAAGATATTGTAACCGTCCGTTTTCCTCGTCGTCTAGAATCTACATGTAGAGTTTCACTCAAAGACCGTGGGCATTGTTGTACACCACGTGTGCGCGCAGGGAGCCCTCGCTACTCCAAAACTACATGTCATCAACTAATAAGTACGTGTGTACCTTGTTGTGTGCACACAGAGTCAAGTTTCCACATGAGCCTTTCACGACAGGGGTGCCGGTGTGCCGTGTATTTGACTGATGACAGGTACCCCTTTTCGAAAATCACAGCAGAGATCGATCATGTCTGCTGTCTAGATCTTCACTTCTTCCCTCTGGTTAGTCGTGGCATTTAGATTGCATTGGTATTGCAGGTTGCCTCGGGCAACCGTGCTGGTCCTCAAAGAGGTTTTCGTTTTGTTAGGTGGTCTCTGGTTTCTTCGTGTTTCAAACGCGGAATGTACTCGACGTTAGTTATCACACGAGAGATCCTTGGTATCGTGTTGAAGGTAGAATAGTGTAGAGAGCACCGACGAGATGTTCGCACACAACCAATCAAAACCTGTTTGCAAAAATGTGTGATTGCATTTTGTTGATTGAACGTACATTGCAAACTGGAGCTGCCTAAAACCCAAGGAGAATCGATTAATGATGAGTAGACCAAAGCTCGCCAAGCGACCGAAGGCGCAACCAGGTGAAGACTGCGGATCTTGATGCGTGCTAGATGCTGGATGTGGTGAGGAACTGACCACCCCTGCTCCATATATATCGGAGCGCCAGATCATCTGTACGTGGTCCGTTCACCGCTTCTCTAACTCCATGCTCCTAAGCTACTTGTCGTTGCTGCATTAAACAGACAGCAGTCTGGGTGGCATGGATCACTGGGGGCACACACACGCCCTTCTTGGCGGAAGGACTTCCAGCACTCGCAGTGCCGACAGCAGTCCCACAACTCACTCACACCTAAAAAAATCTATCCCATTTGAATTCTCTCAAAGGAGACCGTTTTTCCTGGGCGTTGAAGCAGCATAGAGCCTGGGCGGCTTGAAGGCTTATTAGCTTAGGTGTTTAGAGACACATGCTACCGACACGATAGAGGAAGCGGGGGTCCAGGACGTATCCCTACCCGCGGGCAAAGGGACGCAAACGCGAGTACGAACTTCAACGCCCTGATGAACATTTTGCTCCCAAACAATCACAGCACCACCGCATCAACAGCCATATCCGTTGCAAAGTCAGGCGCTCCGGTCCATCGCCCTTTCACAGTAGTAGCCGAGATGGCCAGCATGGTCGACTTTGATACGGAGTCCAGGAAAGGTAGCAGCAACCGCAGCACCTCAAACTTCTCAGCAAACACCACCAAGCCCAACGTAGACGGCCAAATCTCTGCCGTTTAGTGCGTATCCATACAAGCGCCAGGCGGCTTGAACATAGCAAGACCCAACAGTAAACAGCAGCAGCAGCTGCAGCGAGTTGTAGACTGGTTGAAGTACTTCGATCCTCAGCCCGTAAAAAGGGCGGCGTATTCTTCCGGCACGTCAGAAAGGAGTTCGAACCTCGCCGTTCGCTCTTTCCGTCTCTCCCGCTCCAACTCCGCCTCGCGTTCCCTCCTGGTCAGGAAAGAGCCCGTCTCGTGTCCACTCTTGCCTCTCCCTTCCCTTCGCCCTGCCCCCCCCGAGCTAGCAGTGCTTTCACCCGTAGAACGGCATCCGCCGCCGCCGCCGCTGCCACCGCCACCACTTCCTGAATGTGTTCCCTGCCCCCAAAACCCGCCCCATGAGTCACCCGCAGCTCCTCCCCCTCCTGCCCTTGCAGAGGGTTCGGCGTTAACGCCGCTCGATTCGCCTGAAGCGTCTAACCGGTTGCCACTACACCCACCACCATCCCGGGCGCGCCGCCGTCTCCCTCCGCCGCCGCCGCCGCCGCCGCCGAGCCGTCCCCGGTCGAGTCTCTCGTGCGCCCTTACCGCGTCGCTCTTCCCGTCCGGAGCGTTGAGCGCCTGGGACGGGACGTGCGACGGGAAGTGGGTGACGCGGGGGCGCAGCTTTCCGCCGGCCCCCAGGCCGGTCGTGTCCCGCTTGAACGTGGTCTGCAGGGGATTCACGCGGCCCTGCTTCCGGGAGCCGAGGCCCTCGTCCAGCTTCCAGCCCATGCCCGCGAGCAGCTGAAAACCCTTGTTGCTTTCGTGGATTTGCACCTAAGATATGTAGGGAGTCGACGACGATGATTAAACGGCAGGCTGGAAGGGTTAAAACGTGACGGGAAAGGGTTGGAGAAAAATGCAAGCTGAGTGACAGCAAGCCGACGAAGAAAAATGAAAATTTTGTTGGGTCGTGAACGGCAGTCAATCGCTGTACGAAGGAAGCAGAACCGCGAACGAGCCGACCGTTGCTCCTGTCCAAACAGCAACCACCGCCGAACAGACGTTGCCAGGAAAAGGAGCGGTCAGGTTAGTAAGGCGTCCTACGCCGATTTTACGCCTATATGCAAAAGCCGGGTGATGTGTTCTGGAGGCCGACACCACAAACAAGCGACAAGCCGAGAGTCTTCAGGTGCTCGTACAACGGGACTACCGTGTAGGACGCATGAGATATCACACCGTCTGAACCAATCTTAAAAGCTCGACTACTCTACGACAAAGAGGATGCCAACTCACAGGATACGGTCTAGGCAAGCTCTCGACGAGACCGCTCCAACGCCACCGTTTTCGGAGCCGTAACTGCTTCAGCTATAGATTTTTCGGGCTTTGATATTTAGGTCTTGTGGGTATGGTATCTTATGCATCTCACGGTATGCAGTCCTGCTCGGAGCGGACGCAAAAAAAAATACTCCGATATCTGAACGCACCACGCCCGTGTCGATTTGGTTCTCTTCGCATCAGCGCGGTGCACTCTGGGTGGAGATAGAGACCACTTTCGACTGCTGTGGAAACCACACTATAGCCGCTATCGTTGCGTAGGTCCGTGATATATGTACTTATGCATTTTGCATACAAAACCAGCTTCTCGGTGTGGTGATGATGATCACGATGCGTTGCCGTCTATGCGTTGCCGTCTACGCGCACGTCCGTGGACGTCCTTGTACTCCAAGAAAAAGAACACAAGGGGGCGGACCATGCGTTGCCGTCTACGCGCACGTCAGTGGACGTTCTTGTACTTCGAGAAAAAAAACATAAGGCGGTGGAACGCAGACCCCCGATCACGATAACGGAGATCAGCGCGACCAATGATTGGCTTGCCTCGCGACGTTTTCGATGCCGGGATTCATGCGATGCCTCACCATCCGCAGCACCGACGACCACCGCCAACCGCCTCGAAGCAAAAGCTTTTGTGTGTGCCAGCTAGCTCACCTTCCTCCCCTGCGGCCTGTGCTGCTGGTTGAAAATGTGCAGCGTCGAGGTGTTGTGCTTCTCCTCGGAGAGCGACGCCACGCGCTCCCCGCACACCCGACAGAAAAATCCCTTCTCCGCGCCCCCAGCGCTTTCGTCTTGACCGGCAAGGTTTGGGTTTTGGGGCGGTCCGAACACTGCCGGTTCGAGTGGTATTCCTGAAGCGGCCATCGCCATTTCTCCCTCCTGCGAATAGCTGTTTCTTTCTGCTGCCGGGGGACGCCGTGATGGCCGCGGCGTTGTCTCGACCGGGTCTGAACGTTGGCCCGCGTCAACCCCATCGCCACCGCTCCAGCTGTAGCTGCTTCTCCCGCCATGGGAGCTGCTCTGACCTGATGACGGTGTAGTAAGAGCGTGTGATTGCACCGAATGGAGAGGGTCGGAAGGAGGGGTGAGGAAGGAATGCTGCAGCAGATGAGCTTGGCCTATCTTTTCGAAACGTCCGCAGCGTTTCCAAAAGAAACCCGATGCAAAAAAGGCGAGTCAGCAGTAGGAGACCATGCGCCAAGCGTTGAACACACGGAAGGTGGTAGGATGGGTTCGCAACGCACACAGGGAACTTGTGTTGCGCGTGCTGCAAGGCAAATACGTAGTGAATGCACCAGCTTACGAGCAAAAACGAGATAGAGAACAGTGACTCAAAATTTTCGCAAAACTGCCGTAGTGTGCAAACAAATCGGCCTACGCTCCGACTTGCAGGCCTGTACACGACGCCTTCACCTGTGTATATAGGTTTTATCTGCAGCACAAAGCGTTACACGCAAACGTAGCGCTGTAACTGTTCTTGCTATTACCCCGGAGGTTTGAACTTCGAACTCGCGGTGCCTTGATGCTCTTCTCGGTCTACTCTGTGGCGATGGTGGAACCGGCATGGGGACTCGTCAATTGCATAGCAGCCACCCAAGCAGTTGGCCGTCTGAACGGACGGAGGCGTCTTAGCATACGCGGTGCAGTGCGCCGGACAAAGCGACACAAGGCATCTACGTAGACTGTCTGTGGCCACATAGAACGCAGTTGCTGCTGTTGTTATTGGTGGTGCAGGCAACGCGATACATGTTCAAGCTGTTGTAGCCGTAACACTTGATGACTGGAGGAGAGGATCTCACACTGTATCCAAGAATACATCACGCGAAAGCACCTATGTCCGGGTAATGCCTTGCGATGGCTTTCTGCACACCTTACTACAAGCTGGTTCTGGCGCTACTGATGTTGTGTCGACTGATGTTGTTGTGCTTGCTGCTTTCATGGGCCAGGGGCCATAGAAAGACAAAAGCAGGGCCTGCCTCACATCGCGCTCATGGAACCAAAACACGGCAGCAGCAGTAGTAGCCGCGAACGACGCCGACTGCACAACAAGCGTCGGAAGTGGCAGCAACGTAAATAATTTTTTTGAAGGTATTCCCCCAACCATTGTCGCTACGTCCTTTGGAGAAGGGGTGCCTAAAACGTTACTGGTAAAAACACCTCGGAGCGCTCGCACGAAGACAGAGGGACGAAAGAAAAGAAGCAAGAGACCGAAAACCCGCAGCGATAAGTCCCTGGGGGCGCTGTCCCTTTTTCTCTGTAGAGGTCGGGCGCACATACACAAAGATACCGCGGACCACTCTTGAAGTAGAGCCCGCAAGGCCAAAAGCAACTACATTACGCGAAAGCCTTCTGTCTGCTTCCTAACAGCCGCCGTCTCTTGCTTGTCTAGTAGCCATGCGTTGCTTCAAAACGCCGTGCGCTCTCTCTTGCGCTTCCTTGTTGTGGTATGCTTCAAAAGAAGTTTGCAGTACATTTGGATGGGCAGGAGAAGGAAAGAGTATCGTTTGATGCTTGTCGAGTCTTATTGCGGCAATATTCGGCGTTGTCGGGGTGCGCCCGGGCAGGCCTGCGACAGCACAACTCGTGGTGTATTCTTCGGCAGGGGAGTTGGCTGGCTGGGAGGAGGTGGTGCCGCTCGATTTGCAGCTGATGGAAAGTTGTATTGTTGAACGGAAAATAGCAACGCCAGGAACATCAGCAACCACCATGCGCACAACAGCAAAGATGTTGCGGGATCTCGTGTGGTTGTGAATTTTCCTGTGAACGCCCGGGGGGCGGCCACAGGAAAAAAATCATCAAGGTACATACGCATATCATAGGGGGCCAAAGAAAAATAATCACAAACGATTAGCCTCTGGGCGTAGTCAACGTTTCGTGCTGTTTTTTTTGGGGGGGGGGGCTCATGACCATAAGGCGTTCTCAAAATGCTGCTTGTGTACAACAGCAAAGTTTGTTCACAACGACAACTTTTCTCTACAAAGCATTATATTTACTGCCGTACCTGATGATCTTTCTCCTCGTGTACTTCGCGTACAAAGAGAACACACCATCAAATCGTATTTAGCCGTTCTCAGCTCTGAGTTCACTCTTCGTTTCTGTGGACCCCTGCTGAAGAAATTCGCTAGCCAGCAGTACAGCAGTACTAATATGAAGTCAGACGGCATTTTTTTGTTTTCCTTGCGTACACCTACAGCAGTAGTAGGGCGTAGGGCGTGGAGCATCGCATCAAGTTCTACGAATGGGTCTCCACAAATAAAAAGGGCAAATGAAATCAACATTCCCCGACTTATCGCTTGTGCCTGAGAGTACGTCACACCCGCTAACGTATCCACGCCGTGTGTGGGGAGGGCGGTTCGCTGGTCGGAGCCCAGGCTCGGTACCCACAATGTCTACAGCAGTCTTCTAGTCTTCAGCAGTACTTCCCGATAGCTTTACGTTGGGGTGGAAGTATATAACAGCGACCGGAATTTGGCTGCAGGGGTAGCAGGTCATACATCAATGGCAGGGATTTGTGACACGACACGAAGGTGTAGTACCTAAAATACCTGCCGTATTCCTACCTGACGGTCGAACGATACTCTCGTAAATAGAGGACACCGTTTCCCCATCTCCTTCTTGCGCATCCCTCCGACGCTTCTTGCTGCTAGTATCCCTCCCGACCTCGTTACTGGCGGGAACAAACGCCTGAAGCATTCTCCTCTCCCTCTCTCTCTCTCTCTCTCTCTCTCTCTCTCTCTCTCTCTCTCTCTCTCTCTCTCTCTCTCTCTCTCTCTCTCTCTCTCCTTCTCGACAGCTGGGGGTGTGGGTGAGGGGTGAGGGATCTGTTCGGGAGGAAACGCGGCGCAATTTCATGTTAGTTTAGACCGTTCTCGAGAACGGTTCTACTGAGAAGCACGCGAACATATGATGGCACTGCTGCCAATCACACGCGCACACGGAGCCCTTACCGCACACGGAGCACATATTCTACCGAACACGGAGCACATCAACGCGTTTCTCGGTGTTGGCAAGAGCAGTGGCGGTAGAAGCACACCCTTCTTATTGCGCGGACATATCCCTAAGTCGCCACACTCGCCATGACTCCGCCCGAAGGTAAGGGAATGGGTGCTCTGAACATGTCGGTATGTCGTGCATATTACATGTATAGGGTCGGTCAAAATGCTCCCCCGGGCGTGTACGTTTTGGGACCCGCTGCTACGTACGCGGAGTCGACAGAAGTTGTTATGTGATGGATGAGACTAGTACTTGTAGCGCATGTAAATTCTCGAATATATGACACACGAAATCGTGAGTACACAGCAGTACGGGTCGGGAGATCAATCGTATGCTTGGGCAGCCGCATACAGACGTGAACCCAAGCCGCAGTAGCACCTCGAACTCTTCGTCAGCTAGAAGTCATGTGGAAGTGAGAAGAGATTGAAAGACACGTTCAAAGTCTACATGATGTTCGGTCTTTGAAATCGAGATACATCGGCGTGTTTTCGGTGTCGATACGAAGCGGTTACCCCGTTGAGCCGGGCTCCCTGTGCACTGGGAGGTGTTCATTACCGCAGTAGATGGTTGAAATAGCACCATCACATGATCATGGTATAACTAAAGACAAAGTGGTGATGGGTGGGGCAGAACGGGAAGGCAAGACACCAAGTGTCCGGAAACAGCAAAACAATATGGCGACGAAGAAATGATAGAGATGGATTCGTTGTGTCATATTAAAAAAAAAAGAAAAAGAGAAGACACATCATCATCTCGACAGGAAGTTCGAAAATAGAAAAAGAGAAGACACACCATCATGTCGACGGGAAGTGTATGAGAGCCTACATAGTACTATAGTCTACGTGAAATAATGTGAAGTACGTTCTTTGTGCCAAGTCAGTAGGGAGGAAGGCGAGAAGAACTACCCATCTAAAGGCGGTTGGTGAATCTGCCCGTGGTCATCACCCGCATCTAATGTGTCAGTTGCGCCGTGTTCTGAGCTACCTACAGTACTTGCTGTGGATGCGGCGGGCAAAGAGCGTTGGGTTGCTGGGCCGTAGAGCTGACGCCTTGGTCCTCCAAGTAGAGCTTGCGATTTGGCCGAAGGTGGTGGTCTCCATGTCGAAACACAATTTCTCGGAACATTCCTTGGGTAGGTGCATCGCGTGCAGCGACCTACTGCTGTAGCTTCTTATTAAATCTATCTTCTTGCGCGTCGGCTTGGGGCAGTAGAGCTTACGACTTGGTCGAAGGTGGTGGTCTCCATGTCGCAATACGATTTCTCGGAACATTCCTTGGGTAAGTGCATCTCGTTCAGCGCCCTATCTGCTGCCCTCTCTTGCACCGCGGCCTCGGGCGTGTATTAACCCCCCTGAACAAAACAAGGATCAGGAAACTCGGAACTCGGAACTGTTCTCTGATTGGTGGCCCTTTAGACACAATACACCGTTCCTGAAATATGCACCCCCCAGGATTCCTTCTTTTGGGTGATCCCAACGCATGGGTAAGGGGGGGCAGAATTTCTCACCGTTCCGCATTCCGAGAACGCGGTGCAGCTGCGTTCTCGCCCAGTTCGCGGCCGCTAGGCCGTGCGTTGGCCGTGGGTAAGGGTTAGGGTTAGGGTTGGGTTGGGTTCGGCCGGCCACGGTGTGTCTTAGCCTTCGTCATCGGTTAGACTAAAGAGTCACTAACAGACCGTAGATAGACCTCCAGAATAGGGGTTTCGACGCTGACTCTTTTATCATTCTTTATTCCAACATCAAGAAAGAAAATAACATTCCCGCCTGAGGAACCTGTAACTAAATAGTACCCGATGATATCTGCAGAGGGCACCATCAAGAGGCGTCGTACGTGCTGGCACGTTCAGCTTTGCTACTGAAGCTGAAATATCGAAGGTCGCGGCAGCCTTTGAAAGCAGTCCGAAATATGCGCTGGAACAAAGCAGCATCCAACATTTGTCACAGCCGTGCTCACCGCCACGGACCGTAAACCCCTGAACGAAGGGTGTCAGCAGTAGCAATGATAGTGGCATCAGCTACTGCTGTAAAAACCCGCAGTTCAGCACTGGGTGTCGGTTTATTTTGCGGAGATTGTAGGCCGCTCCTACGACCCTCGATATCACCACCACAGAAAGAAGCAGATTTGAGCGGGCCAACGCGCACCCCCCGCTGGTAATGAATGTCCTCTAGTGATATTATTTAGTACTATGCACCAGCTTCCTGGCAACACAGAGCTTATTTGAGCGCCTGCCGTGTTGGCTCTTTTAACTTGAATGTAGAATGGTGTGAATTTTATCTTGTTTTCAAAGGAGGCGTGTGGAGGTAGACGCGTGAAACGGATGTTTTGAGAAACCTCTACTGCCATACTGTGCGAGAATCAACGATTTCTGTTTTTCGCGATGCCTTCCGACTGGCCTTGTGTGTCTCTTTTGCGTTTTCTGGTGCTCTTACGTTTGTTTTCACAATTTGTCAACATCAAAGTACGTGTTCTGCCATGCCTTCAAGCAGAAAATAGATACGATCATCCAATAGACCATGTGGAACGTGGAGAATGGACACTTCGGTGGCAATTCAAGACGTGGTGGGATGTGCGTGGTCAATTCGGGCATGTCGCTGCCACAGGTGCTGGCTGCTACCGGTTCTCGCGATATAGGCATTGCCACCGTCATCAGGTGTCTCGCGTGCAAAAAACGGCAGCGGATGCTCGTGTAGCCGTTGTATTGGGAAGTGTAGAGTGCCAAGAAGACGACGAGCTGCCGTTGACCGCAACCGCAAGAATCAAACCTTGCAGAGCACCCTCGAGGGTGCGGATTGCACGACGAGCACCCCTTGCTCTCAAACATGGTAGGTAGCACTTGTTAGCGACATACGCTCTCGTCGACAGCTTCCTTCAAAACCTACGCCACTCTTTCTTCCTGTATACTACCAAACTCGGTCCGCCTCTTTTGATTGTGTCCGTTGCCTCCCAGTACCTGCGGGCCGAACGCGCGCGCTGAATGCTCGGTGGTCCGTATTGACTGTTGCATGTGGTATGAGACCACATGGAACAGACGAGTTGTCTGTTCCCTGTTACTCAATTTTTTCGTCTAGACGGTTACTGCACGCCCAGGCCTACGCATACCGCGACCTACAGCAGTAGCTCCCCCTCTTGCGTGCAGTAGCCTAGCGCTTAGCGCTTAAGTGTACAGGCTTGGGTCGGGTTGTTTCGGTTGAGGTTAGGGAAAGGGCTAAGGCTAGGTTCTACGTGGCGCAACAACACATTGACACAACCCGGTTTCGAACCAGGAATAAGCACTTTCGAAAGGCAGGCGTTGTATCCATCGGGGCAAAAGTTTTAAAGTCAAGAGTTACATGACATCCATTGGCGAAAATATCAGCTGCACCGCCCCACCTACCTCCTTACAGGTTCCGCGGTTGATCTACAATGGAACTCTAGGGTTTTTATACAGGTGCTTTCTAGGAATATTCCACTCAACCGCTGCTTTCGACCAAACGTCGCAAGCACCCCTCTTGGTAGGCTGCCGCTCCAGCACCTCCAGCGGTATTCTTCTGCGCTTATGGAGGCCCATACCCGGGAGTTCCGGGAGGCGGTGAAATGGAGCAGCAAGGCGTGGAGCAAAGGCTCAACGGCGACGAATGGTCCTCGCGCGATGCCATCTGTTCGCCACGATCCCGCCATCGAAGACAACCGTGACGCACATGCGCCTAGACTACCCATGCCCGGATACATGCTCGAAATCCCTGGCATTCCCTTTCGCCAATTCGACGTATTCCCGTTTCACGCCGCCAGTACCCCCAGGCGAGACTCCGAAGCTTCTTGCGCTTAGCGTGCCCCCGGCAACTGTCCCCCAAGACTCCTGATCGACAATCATTGATCGTGGCACGAGAAACGCTGGGGAGCCGACGACGGGGCGGCTGCGGCTGCATTTTCGGGTCGAAACAGACAGGCCCTCGGCCGGCGTAAAAGCCTACCCGTCTCTCCATAACGCCTTCTTGCCTGTTTCAAGAAGGGCGTTGTTTGAACGCCGTTCGGGATTCGTGAGACTGCTGTGGTGCGGAAATTGAAGCCGCCGTCGCCG